GAACTCCCACATTATAAAAAGAAAATCAATTATTAGTAACATTACTTGGTGTGATTGTAGTACTTTCCATACTCTAACAAGAAACCTGAAGGAATAAATCATTATGAAATAAAAATGATGCAGAAAAAAAATTAAGACTGCTATAGACAGATGTTAAACAGGCTTATCTTACAATATGAGTTCATTTCTCACTGAATAAATAGGCTTCATCCAGCATATATGGAGGAAAGGAAAGTTGACTTTAAAACCAGAAAATGAAATGCTATCAAGTTTAGTATAGCTCTTCAAACCATTCCTGCATTTGGTTCAAAGAAAACAAAAGATTGAGTAAAATAATAATAATAATAAAAAACAAATCTATTAAGAAAAAACTACATGGTCAATGAGGTAATTGGTAAGTCAGTGGAAATGCTTTTTTGATCTGAAAGGTGCAAAGAAAATAAATACTATAATTGTGATTGAAGGTAGAAATTCGAAAGAGAACTCAACAGAGCAACATTATGGCTGTAGGATTGATTTGGTGAAAAGGCAGAGCAAAGATGAAAAAATATAGAAAATATTGGAGGATTACCTCCCTTGTCCTCACTATATAGCTCAGGTGTGTCAAACTGGCAGCCCATGCACCTCATGCAGCCCTTTACATGCATCTTGGCGGTCCTCACAAAGGTTTCTATAGCCATGGTATATTGAGAATTTTGTCTATGTTGGTAATGCAAATTATTAAAAACAGTGAAATTTTTTTTCAATTGGTATGATTAGATTGTTTATTCTATCTTAATGTTTTTTTTTGTTTTTGAATGTCAGCGACTATTTTTAACCTCTGGTTAATCATGTGATCATCTTTGACAACTAAATAAGAACAAATGTAAAGTGAGAATGTTCGTAATTTTGTAATATTTTGCCTTAAAAATGTCCAATTCTACTCCATCTTGTAAAAAGAGAAAATTATCTAAAGAAGGATGTGTGCTTCAAGAAAAGCAGGAATTACAGTACTTTTGTGCCACTGTTAATGGAAAGAAACTGATTTGCAACCACTGCATTGTGATGCCAAAAGAATATAATAATGTGAAAAGACATTATGAAACAAACCATTGATCTTATGATAAATATGAAGGAGTTATGCATGTTTCAAAAGTGAAGGAATTCAAGGTTAAGTTAACACAGCAACAGAATTGCTTTACAAACATTCAGAAAGGCAACATTAGTTCTGTTACTGCAAACTTTGAACTCTGTGATGTCTTGTAAAAACAGCTGAAACTGTATGTCTAGAGAAGTCACACTTATTTCAAAACATTTCTTCATTAAGAAGAACACTGTTGCTGGATAGTAGAGATGGGAGGTTTAACTGAAAAATTGACTTTTTTCAGTTTCATATTCCTACTGTGAAACCACATCGAAATTTTTGATGAAACCAAAATCATTTAATTAATTTAGTGCTATCACTACTGAGTGACCATATCCAAATAAACACTATTGAAAAAGACTATGTTACTAATTTTAACCACTAGACCATTGTAAGAGAAAAAGATTAAACAAAAATATGTTAAAAACTTTTAATTGGATAGTTTTAGAAAATAAATATGAAATCTATTTATTTACAAAAAAAAAAAAAAAAAAAAAAAAAAAAAGGAAAATATCACATGATGTTGGAAATCAATTTGTTTCAGACAAATTTTTTGTGGTAAAATTAAGTTAACAACAAACTAACGAGTAAAAATAAAAAAAAAAAATACAAAAATAGTTGCTAGTTTAGTCTTAAAGTTAAATTTTATGAAGTCAGATTTTTTGTAAGGGTAATAATTGTTTTCTAGTAAGCCAGTACACCAATCATGAAATAAAGTTGTTGTAAACAAGAATGAAGATTTTTTTCTATAAATATATTTGTTTTTTATCTAGCGAATGCACCTAAATTAGATATTAAGAATAATTAAAATAGTTCTTAATTTCACTTTTTTAAATGTGTATATTTCTCTAGATGTGAGTCTCTAGTATAAAAAATTGTTTTCTACAAATAAAATTGTTTCTATCTAGCGAATACAGCTAAAATTAGATATTAAAAAAAAATTTAATCTTAGTTTTAAAATGTGTATATTTTCCAAACTGCAAGTCAATTTTTAAACCCAAAGTAAAAATTACTTTTTTTTTTTTTAGCCACTAGTATTCAGTGGCTGTTCTGCCTATAAAATTCTTCTAAACAAGGATAATTAATTCATTTTATTTTTACAAATATCTTTATGGTGCGAATACACTTAAAATGATTAAAACAGTTTTTAATTTCAGTTTTAAAATGTTTATCTAAAAAAGAACAGGTGATACTTGCAGATTTGGAAATCTACACATACTAAAGATGAAATTAAAAGCTTTTAATAATTTTAATATTTAATCTTAGGTGTATTCACTAGATAAAAACAAATTTATTTAGGGGAAAAAATAACTCATTGATTTTCTGTATTCAGAAGAAATTTATTTGCAAAACCCCAATAATAGTTGACTGGTGTACCAGAAAAGAATTGCTGTATATTTTTTTTTCTTTTTTGCTTATTTTATAATTTTTGAAGGAATTTGTTTCCTCAGGTCATAGAAGAAATGAACATCTTGATTGTAGTTTAAGGTGTCTTCTAATTGAGTGTACAATTTTAAGAATATTGATAAAGATTGGTCACTTTGATTTTGTGAAACAACGTGTAAAATTTAGTCTTGGGGACAAAAAAAAAAAAAAAAAACATTTTGCAATTTTGGCTGGTCAAAGCAAAATATTGTTTTAACTTGTAAAAAAATAATTCAATGAATAAAAGCACATACAAATTACATATTTAAAAAGATTATTTTATTTTCTTTCCAGTCATATGAATATTTTTAAGACTGGACCATAAATACACGAGATATTGCGAGTTGAATGGACTAAGTTGCAAATTTATCAATCTCAAACAAAATCAGATATCGACTGGAAATGCTATCATTACATAAGAAAATGAATGGCTTCCTTAGAAAGCAAAAATATTAAATTAAAAACTGAATCAAAAACCATGGTATCAAGGAAAAAAACCTGGAAACTGATACTGAAACAAACTGCCAAACCGACCAACTCTACTGGACGGATTGATGAATGGCAGGTGATTTGAATCAACAGTTTTAAAGACTTTATCATTAAGTTTTGAACATTTTTCTATTGCTCTGGATGAGTGTTGACATAGCTGGAATAGTACAGCTTGCCATTTTCATCAGGTCTTGTGACAATGAATTTCAAATTTATGAAGAACTAATTGAACTGGTCCCAGTGCATGATACTACAACAAGCCAGGACATTTTTGAGAAAGTTGAACAGCTTCTCCATGAGTATGGCCTTGATTTGAGTAAACCTGTGTCTTTATCTACTGATGGTGCTGCCAATATAGTTGGGATACATAATGGTGTTGCTGTCAAGTTAGGTACACAAATAGAAAACACATATCCAGATTCAACATTCAAGCATTTTCACTGTATAATTCATTAACAGAACTTATGTTCCAAGATTTTAAAATTAGATCATGTGTTGAGTTTTGTCAAAAAAAACTGAACTATATAAGAGGTCGTGCTCTGCATCACCTTCAGTTTAGCCAGGAAGTTAGGAAGACGTGAATAACCCAGTTCACAAATGTCCAATTCTACACAGAAGTTTGGAGACTTTCATGTCACATGGTACTGAAAAGATTTTTTTTATTGCAACATGAAATTGTCACGTTTTTGGAGATGAAGAGTCAAATCACAGATGAATTGAAAGATGAAAGCTGGCTCCAAGATCTTGTTTTTTCAATGGATATTACTGCCCAATTAAGTGACTTTAATTTGAAATTACAAAGTAAAAATAAGCTTATCACTCAGTTATATGATGATATCAAGCGTTTCATTGCAAAATTAGATTTATTGAAATCCCAGTTGTCATATGAAAAGTTGATTCATTTTCCTATGTGCAAGGAGTTGTAAAAACTGCCAATACTGAGTCTATTTATCTTTGCTAAGTACGACAATTACCTGGAATTGCTGCCAAAGGAATTTCAGTGAAGATTTTGTAATTTTTCATCTTGTGAAGATCAGTTTGCATTATTCTCAGCACCAATCACTGTTGATGCTGTTCAGGCAGAGTAAAGTCTACAGATGGAACTACTGGAAATGCAGACTGACTCAACATTCAAGGGAAAGTACCTAGAAGTAGGGGTACCCAGATTCCTCAGACCTTTAAGAACTTCAGAAAGTTTGCTACAAAGATTATGGTGATGTTTGGTTCCACATGTCTGTGAGCAGTTATTTTCGTTTATGAAGGCCACAAAAACGTCTCACAGAACCAGATTAACTGATGAACATCTGTCATCTTTGATCAGACATTCCAACCTGATATATCTAGAATATTTTGTCTAAAGCGATGTAAATCATCAGAACAACACAAAAATGATTAAATTGTACTACTACCTTGTATTGTAAGTATTTTGTATTTAATGTTTAGTTACCACTAGCTGTGATTAATGTAAGACTGTAAGCAGGAGCGGTCCTCGAGACTGCAGATATGGTTGATGTGGTTCTCCATATGCCCTCAGTTTGACATGCCTAATATAGCTTAATGATGATTTTACAAGGATACTTTGAATTCATAAAATATATACAACAGTACAAAATGAAGTACCCGAGAAGTGTATAAACATCTCAATACATTTTTTTTTTAACACTGAAATTCAACAAAATATTTAATAGTAAAAAATATATACAGATGAATGATTAAGGGTTATTTGCATGTTGCTTGAATATACAAAGAAAAATAGATTTTGATAAGATATATTGTCTTCAGGTGTCTTGAAGTTCTGCATGTAAATTGAAGATCAAATGTGGATGGATTCAGAGCAAAGATGGTTTTAATTTGCAATGGGTCAAAAGGAGTTGAAATAAGTTTTTATAGATGAACACAAAAGAAAAAGGAACTATTTGCAAAAAATTCATTAATAAAAACTACATAAAGCAATTGAACTTACATTCTTGGATCACAGGCATCAAAACCAGCTTTATTCAAATAGTAAGCTGTGACGGAATCAGGAATCTAAAACCAAATAAAAACATTTTAAAAGATTTAACAACAAATGTTGGAGGCAGAAAGAGAAATCTTAACTTTGTCAGGAAGCTTTCTCCTATGAAATCTTTATGAAAGATAATTTTTATAACAAAGAATCTTAAGTGAAATGCTTTAATTTGACAGCACATACAACTAAGAGTTTGCATAAATTCATAAGCATTATTCCCATAAAAAATTAACTGAAATTAATCAAATGAAGTTTAACAAAAAAATGAAAGGGAATGAAAGCAAAAATCAAATAAGATAAAAAATTACATTAAAAATGACCATTCAATAAAAAGAAAAGCATTTTTCTGCATTTTCAAGGTTATATTTTTGTAATTAAACAGTGATTACAGAAAAAAAATGTATATTCCTGCATATGAGTTTGCATCTCCATATGGCCAAAATATACAAAAGTATGCATAATTGAAAAAAATATTTAAAAAAAAAAAAAAAATACAAATGAATGGGTCTCTTTCTTTTTAATACACAAAAAAGGCAAATGGACAAAATAAAATTTGGAAAAAGTTGTCAGTTTATAAAATCATAATTTGACAGGATGAGAAAAAGAAAAAAAAAATGAGTTTATTTGAAAGTCTGATAAAGTGAAACATTTTCTTGACATTTGTGATTAATTCATAATTGTTATAGAATAAATATGTATAAGAAATAACAAAACATATTTTGCCCATTGATCCAATGACTAACTTGAAATGCAGACAAAACAATTTGAACATTAGTAAATGCTACTTTGAGGTCTAAAAGGCTACAAATGGCAACCATACTCCTCTCTTCAATAGCTGGACATAGTATAGATAATTCCTCCACATGAATTTAACAGAATTCCACGTGGGATTTAAGCATTTCCAAGAAATAAATTGGTTTAAGGATTTCAGATTGAGAGACAGTGCTAAGGAGGAAAGTTCAAAGAAGGGGAGATATTAAACAGAAGGCAGACCAAAAAATACCAGAGATTCCAACAAACATTCAACAGGAGGATGAAATTAAAGCAAACGTGTGTGTGTGGGGGGGGATGAAAACGTTAGACATCACCTAAAAAAAATAAAATCAGACAAATGGAAAGTCTGGGTTTTTTTAAAGTTTTTATATAAGACTACTATAGCTACTACTTTTTAAAAAATTTCATTTGATCTACATTTGTATCTAAAATGTAGATTGAGAACTTATATTTGTCTGCTTTTTACTGGAACATTTTGTAATTAGAAATTTTTATAATAAATGACAATGCTAAAGATGTACAAGTTTTCTACCTACAAAGTAAAAAAAAAATCAAAAAAAATCCACATACATTAAAAAAAGGAGTCAACATTTAAGAATTGGCTTTTCTCCTAAGTTCACACTTGACAAAGCAACTTTGGCCAGTGGTTGGTGCTTATAATTTCCCATCACTTCACGGGACTTTTTTTTTTTTTTTTTATCATTATTATTCGCATCTATGCTTTATTGTCAAGAGAAGTGAAAGAGAATCACTTATTGTTTAAAATAAAAAAAAAATAAAAAAAAAAAATTAAAATATGTGATTAAGAGGCGATTAAATTTCTTTTTGAAGTATCTTGTCATAAATTGAAAGAGTAATAACAAACATTTTTTTTAAAATCCAGTTTTTCCAGATGTTTTTAACATTATACATCTATCTGAATGAATTTAGATTGCAGTGTTGATCTTATCTCTAGTCAAGATAAACCAAGTGTATAATAATTAAAAATCTGGAAAACATTTGATGAATGTGCCAAACCACTTTTCATCACTGAAAACTCGTTAAAAATAGGTGCTTGTGATAAAGGTCAGAAAGAAAAAAATATTCTTACGTAATTTTGAGCAAATAATTCAGACATGTCATTCGTCTTGGAATCATCTTTCTCTTGAAATTGTCTGAATTAATTAATTTCAAAACATTTTATCTTTCATCTTATTTTGTATTTTTATAGCAACATTCAGGTCATTTTTACGTTCTACGCCCATTAAATAACATGAGTTATAAATAAAGAAATAGAAACCAGTGGTGGTATTTGAACTTGAATCATTGGAAACCTGCCACATATAAAGAGTGCTTTAAGGTCATGGAAACCTAACAGCAAACAAAATTCAAAATTTTGTCAAAAAATAATTTTTACTTTCATCTGATTTTCTCTACAATCATGTAGCCTTATGTAGAATGTTAGGCAGAATGAAATTATTGAATTGAACAATTGATCTAAGTTGATGTCTCAATTTGAATAGTACACATCCATTTGGAAAAAAGTCAGTGAAATACCATGACTTAAAGTATGAAAGATATCAACATCATATTTTATAGAACATTCATAGTCATGTAGGTCCTCATTTGCTTTTATTTTGAATAGAAAGATATTCAAAGATTTTATCTCGAGCAAGATCATCTTTATGTGGCTTTAAATAACTTGTAGCCAAGATGAAGACATATATGCTTTCTTGTAAGCGACTCTTCTATAAAAAGAGAGCAGTAACTAAAAACCTGGTAATGCAGAGGTAATTTTCATTTACCACACACATAACCAAGAAATACAAACATGTTGGAAAGTACAGGAAACAAAAGTTATAAAACAAATTCTAATCTTATTCACAAGTTGTGTTTGTAAAGTGAGTTGAGAAGCGGGCACCACTTATTTTTCAATTTACAAACACCATTATGAGGAACACACTTCTGACTGGCCATACAACCTGAACAAATAAAACAGATGACAGAGAAATGCCAAAGAATCTGTTTTAAATTTTATGCAAATACAACACTGTGCACTTTAATGTTCTTAAGCATAGTACATTCAGATAGGTGAGAACTGGTGAACTAAAAGTTAATTTAGAGAGTTCAATATTCAGAAATTGGTTTTTATAACCTAAAAGGTGAGCTTTTTAATATGCCTAACACTGAAAATATGTCTAATCTGTAATAGTTTTTTTTTTCCTTTTAGAACATTATCAGTTATTATTAGTGATGACTTTTATAAAAGAACAATTTATTAGTGATAGACAATATTTTTATGATTTAAATAAACAATCTTTATTTTCTAGGAAATTTCACTTTTAATAGATCTCATATTCCAAGGGATCTATTCACATATGTGGGGGGGTACAGTTTCTCTGGCAGTATTTATAGATATTTTATAACTATTTTCAGCCTTTTATTTAAATGGCAAATTAAAAATAATAATAATAAAGAAGCCATGATAAAAAGTAAACAGACAAGAGTAGATCAATAAGTCAGCAGCTTGACATGTAGCTATTAGGTGAATTTTGATCTGAAATTTTCACTGTTGGATATATATGATTAATATTCACCATTAAATTAAGTGCATTGACAAAGAAGATTATGTTGAAAAGTATCTGTTTTGCTATGGTACCCATATGTTCATTTTTTTGGTTATTTTGTTTTGACCACTGTACTCTCCGGCCTTCTTTAGGACATCTAATGTTATACATTGTGAGTATAAAAAAAAAAAAATGAAAATGCTGGTCTGAAGAGCTAGACATATAATTATGATAATTTCTCATCAAGAATTTCTGACATAAAATATTTTTTTCATCATTAGACAATGGACTTAAGGATTTACATAATTTGTATGACGGGTATTCATAAATGATATAAGCAAATTAAGATGCCATGCCAAATTCATTTCTATAACAAGTCCATAATTATCGGTCTACACAGTTATAGGGACCAATGATTTTTTTTTTCTTGTTCAGTACTATCCACAGATATAAAGTGGTCATTATTATGATTAATAATATTTCAAAAGCTATGACCACTAGATTTTATAGCTGTCCATTTGACTACTTTTGGATAGTAATTTGGACACTCGAGTAAACTCGAGTGAAACAGCAATCAGTACCCCACACCACCACCACCACCACACACACACACCTCACTCCCAATCATGGCAGAGCAGTGGTGGATGGGTGGGAGTGGTGAGGCTTACTCATTTTCAATGGTTATTGTTAGTAGAGGAATGCTGAGATAACCATAGATGAGCCGTCAATAGGAGAGGGGAAGAAAAGGAGACAAATATAAGTACATTCAATCCTTACTATGAAAAAGATTGTTGAAAAAACAGTAGAGGCCAAGATAAGAGGAAATGAGATTGGGCTGGGGTAGTAATGAGTATTCAGTCATTTTTTTTTTTTTTAAATTGATTTCTTTCATTTACTTTTTCTTGTCTCCTGAATCTTATTACAACCTATTAATTCCTTTAAGCTTGAATTGAGAACTGAAACTTTTTGCATTTTTATCTCAACTAAAATATCCGTGTTGAAGCAAAATGACTAACACAGGTCACAATGAAGACTAAACTTAAAAGTTTATTGATAATAAAGGCAGGTGTAGTTTATTTTTTTATTGTTGCTATGAAGATGTAGTTTATTTTTTACTTTTACTGTAAAATGCATGAGAAAAAAAATCCTCTTCGTCTTATTCTTAAAAAAATCTAAAAGCAATATGGGGGAATTTGGCCCAATGTTTAAGGGAAGAAGAATGAAATAATATAGTGAGAAAAAATGAGACCCCCCCACCAAAAAAAAACCCTCAATAAATAGCCAATTGATAAAAAGAGTTGTCATGAGTGCTTATATTCAAAGAATTTACATAGAAATATAAAAGTATTTTTGCAGATAAACAAAATTATAATGGTTGGATTAATTAATTTTGCCTAAATTTTGCTAGGGTGGGGTAACTGAAAAGAAAAAAAAAAAAAACTCCTGGAAAATCATTGTCAGTAGGATATCAGTCAGTTATATGCCATGTGTGATACACACATAGGCGATCATGTATCTTTCGATACATGACTGACGAGGCAGATTTTTTTTTTTTCCTCCGCAGTAGGTTGCCATTTCTTTCTTCGGTAGACCAGTTGCCATCCAAAGCTTTAGAACCCAGTCTGTCCTGCCCTGCTATTTACCCATAGCTGGGGGAAGAAGAGGAGTTTATACCTTTCACAACTATTAGCACGTAAATG